CTGGTTTAAGTACTTGAGGTATAAAACTAGAAGTGTGCTTACGTTCTCCTTGTCCCAGGCTAGAGTAAACACACGCCTTTCCTGGCTTGTCTAACGCTAGCACTGCTGACACAGCAAAGGCCGGTTCTCACCTGTGTGCAAGGCTGCACACCTTCCCTGTAACTTTGCTTCAACAGTCGGGGCGGGGGAGGGGGGGCGCTGCCCTGTAGGTGGACAAGGATGAAGGTCGGGTGCGGGGGCTTCTCAACAACTCCGTGAGATTTCTCCCAGGACCCCTCTTGCCCAGACCCCGGGCCACAGAAGGGCGCCGGAGAACCGCCCCCCGCAACAGAGCACGTCCCCCAGAGCGCGGCCCTGCAGCAGCGCCCACTGTTTTCGGTCGTGTCCAAAAGGGAAAGTTCGTAGTGGCTCTCCTTCCAGCCTATCTCAAGGACTAATTAAATCCTCATTACTGCCTTCTAATTACTCCAACACTATGGGACTCCACTGCAGAAGTCCCTGTTGGCGCACTAGATGAAAAGGGTTAAATAACCTATGCTGGTTCTGAGGGCCCAGATCTAGTTCAGACCCTCAGAAAACCACCAGCATTAACATGAATATTTAACTAGATACCACTGTGAAAATTAAAAGGGAATTCAATTAAGAGGTTTTCAAAAAATTAATTCTGACCTCTACATCTGTCCAAATACATAAGCCTTCTTGAAATGTTTTCACCTAATTGCTAATCCAATAAACTAGAAGGGTATTTGCTAGTTTCATTAAGCTCAACATTTTAGAGGGGTTAAAAATGCGATCATTTTGATGTTAATAATAATTATACTTATTTATCTACTCTGGTGACTATTGCATATTCCCTCTCAGCCTTCTTGGAAAACAGAAAACATATTCATAAGCTGTTTCCTATTGCTCTTTCCAACTTTAAAGATATATATGTTAAAGGCTAAGAAATGAGGATAAAACTAATCTAAACTTGTTAGCTACAATTTTCTTGTAAAATTTATTTTAGTCGGTTAGGGTTATCTTAACTCTTCTTCTAAAGCTTAGATAGCATAATTTATACTACTTTGGTTTTTCCGAAGGGGCTTTAATAGCAATTCTTTACGTCATTCTATGGGGTCTGTAGAGAAAGGTTGTTTTAAAAGAAGAACCAATGGTAGCTATCTTACAGGACCCTAAACTGAAGTTTTGTCCTTTTTTCCCCCCCAAAGAATTTGAGCTGATTTTATTAAGTTAGAAAGACGTTCTCCAGCACCATATAAAATGCAGACAGGAGAGTACGAACTCAGGCTTTGTGCTGGAGAGTGGATGGAAGTATAGAGAAGACAGTACAACAGAAGAATAAAGAGGCCAATAACCATGTAAAGTGCTTCCCCTCTCTCTGCACCCATGACAGCTGGATCTATATTTACTTGCACATACGCTTTTACAGGTGGAAGATATAAAACTGCAGAAACTGAGCTATTTTCACCCATGTATAGTGTGAGGAAATGACAAACGCGGCACACAGATGAGGAGGACACGGAACTGGGGGCGGGGGCCCGCTGGCCAGGAGGCTGCTGTCTGGGGTGCCTGGCCTGCTCACCGCCTTGAGAAGGGACTGCGGCCTGGCAGCGCCCGTTTGGTTCAGACCCTGGGACAGACCCAGGTCTGCAAAATTCTCCTCAACAGAGCACTAGGCTGTGGATAAATGCTCTTCCCGACGGGGACACAGGGCCAAGGGGGAGAAGCGGCGGCGGAACCAGCACTCAGCTTCTCAGCCGGGAGGGGCGGCACGTCAGCAGCGCCGGGCCAAGGGCCATGCGGAGGCCCCGGGGGACGGCACCCCAACACAGGCAGGCTGCGCCTCTTGCTTCGCGCAGGTGCCTCCGGACAAGCGCGTTTCTAGATTCTTTGCCATTAAAAAATGTGTATAATTGTAAAATCTTAATCTTATTATTAAAACAGGTGAATATAAAAGGGACTTCAAATTTGGTTATTTTAGCACTCAGCAGTACAGTAGATGTTCTCATCTTGTCTATCAAGATCCATGGTTTCTGAGAATACACTTTCTTAATAAGATGCTAACTCACCAATATGTATTTTTTCTTCTCTGCGTCTTTCATCATTTCCTTAAATGAGAGCGGGGGATATATAGTTCTAAAGGCATAGAGAAGTTAAATTATGCTTTAAAACGTGAGATCAACACACTGGGGAATTTTCTAACAAGTGTTTTCCTAGATCTACATCGCACTGTGCATTCTGTTGGCAAACATAACATGATGGTAAAAACAAGCAAGAAAAACATTGTTATTATTGTATCAAAGCATTAAAACAACTGTCATCTGCCATTAAAATACCTGATCAAATGTCATTATGAGCTAACATTTCTTCCTAGATTTCAACAAATAACAAAGCCATTTAAAAAAAACTTTCTTGCTACACAGTATTTTTCTTCATTGTGAAAAATACATTTAAAAAATATGTATTGAATAATGCTATAATCCTGCTTGGCATCTTTTTTTCCCAATTACAGTCTATATTCAATACCATTCCACATTAGTTTCAGATGCATAGCTTGCTACCCAATTGTTAAGGAAATTTACCTCATACAGGGCAAAGCATCATCCAACACTCATTCTGAAATATACAATTTTCCTGTTCAGGGGGTTATCCTACCAGCAAAAAGCACACAAGTGATGTGTATAGTGTTTCCAGCACAGTCTTTCAGAGACAGTGTGAGGGACACGTTCATGAAAATAAATTCAGATTTAGCAAATTGTAAAACTTACATTTGCTATTGGAAGGAAATGGTTATTACAACTACCCAGATTGTATGTATCCATTATCACTTACCAAAACCATACTACTTAATAAAGATTATCAGAGGAAGAAAATACCAAATACATCACCCTAGCAGTTTCCACAGTGACACTGGAGGAAAACTCTTGATTTTGCCTTGCTCATATATTCACTTGAGTTAAAAGTTTATTTTAACTATGTTTCCTCATTGTTGTTTCATCCTTGACTATGGGTTTTCTACACTTTCAAATTTCTTAAACACGTATCATTTGGAAGGGCTTGGTGAGGACCTTGCTGGAGGATCTTGGAGGGGTTTCTCCTTTTTAGTTCTTAGAGGTAAAGGTTAGAATTGTAGTACTTTCAAATAAGGTACCTCTTATCCTTTAACGCTTGCAATAGAAGGAGAATTCTCCCAGCGGGAATGCTGTTATAGGGTTACAGTAAGGATTAAATGACATAACAAACATCTTCCTCCTAGCTCTGGGTCTGGCCTGAGCAGGCTTTCAGTGCAGGATAATGTCTTTAGTCCTTTCCTCTCCACCTGATCCCGAACACAATGTAGGCGCAGCCCACTGCCAAGGAAGGAGCTTGGAGAGAATCCCCCCTCGCTTGGCCTTAGTGCCCTTTCCATGAACTTCTGCAATGTCTTCCAGACAACCAGTGCCACACGAGGAATTAACACAAAACAAGCAATAATAGAGAGGATGTGAGATAAAGAATGACTTATAGGAGGTCACAGTAGGAAGTTTAGAGCAACAAATGCACACATCGCACAATTATTAAAACATATTATCGTATCGTTAGAAAGCAGTGGTTCTCCAAGTACGGCCCTCAGATCAGCAGCATCAGCAACACCTGGAACTTGTCAGAAATGCAGATGTTAAGTGCCCCACTTCACACCCACAGAATCAGAAGTCTGGGGGTGTGGCCTAGCATTCTATTTCAGCACGCTCTCCAGGTAAGTCTTGTGCACCCTAAAGTTTGGAGACCATTCATTATTCCATCATTAAGACATACTGTAGTACCTTGATAAGGAAATGAAAGTATTAACTATACATTAAATTATAATAAAAAGTAAAATATGTAAAGGTGTTGGAAATTTCATTTGATTCCTACTAAACAGTCATTCTAACACAAACGATGTGCAGATAAGGCTAATCCATCTTTTCATTGGCACTACTGTCCAAACAATGTGCAACTGAGTTTTTAACATGTAAAATTACTGAACCTTGTAATTCTAATTAGGAGCAATCATTACCTGTATAATTCACAGAGAAATAATTATAAACATTAGGGGTCAGAAGCCTAAATGTTAGCTACCAAGCTACCAACCTCTGCCTTCTGGGCAAGCGTGCGAGGAAGGGCACTGGAGGAAGGTGGCATTGTCCCTGGCGGGGGCGGGGCAAGCCTGACTCACAGGCAGTGCGTACGGAGTGCCCGGGCCCAGCACCAGGTGGGGCAGCTGGCGTGTAAACCCCAGCCTGCTCTCATCTGGGTTAAAATCACTGTGCCGCCACCACCACCACCACCACCAAAAGCTGCTCGACCACTGAAGAGGAGGAAGCCAGAGATCCACAAGTGAAGGCCAAAGGCAGTAATATGTGGAGGTCAATATGCAGAGCTGAGCTAACCGCCCAAGGGTTTGCACACGTAAGACAACTTGAACGTTTGAGGGCTTTAGGAAAATCCTTTTTTTCTGGCTCTGGCGCTAACCCGCCTGAGAATGAGGAAGTCACAAGGAAAACTTACCTGTATTTGTAAATTGAGGCAACTGGACTCCAGGGTCTTTCAAGATGGCTCCAGTTCTAAGACCCTCTAATTTTATAATACAAAGTCTTACTATGTGTTTAAATTTTTAATACTAAATATCATGGAATAATTGAACAAAACAGGTACACACACTCTCTAACATTTTACTTCATTAGAACCACTATCCAAATTGAATCATCAATAGTCATTTTTATAGCCCTAGATCAACTACCAGACTCTGGTCATGTATAAATGATGCCTTATAGTGCTATGTGGACATATATATAGTCTTTGGATCTTGAACTGTGTTTTGGTAAAATTTCATCCAATCTGCAAGAAAGCACCCTTCTTTTTTGTGTTTGTTGTTATACGTAGGTTCTTGTTTATTTCGTTCATCTGACAAGGAAACACAATATCCTTTAACCATTATTTACAAGGATACGGACAGGTAAGCTGACCCATACAAGCCTCACCTCTTTCCTGTGGCATCGGGGACTGGCTCAGGGCGGGATGGGCGCTCGACTCCGGCTGGCTCCCAGGGGGCTGAGGCGGCATCTGGCTGCCTGCAACACAGGAGGAGGCGGGGTGAGGGCCCTGGGCACGGGCGCCGCGGCCCGGCAGAGCCAAGGCGCAACTACACGTGCTTAATCTTCGTCCTCACAAAAGGAACGGCCCCCCGCACAGGCAGAGACAGCGCTCAAAAAAGCATGGTGTTTCACCCTTTTGTGTGTGTGTGTGTAAAACAAACAGGAGACATGCATAGACATATTTAGCAAATGACCTCCAGAAAAGTTCAATTTCATACTGGATGAGTTCCCAAACTCACAGACAAATCAATTAGTAGCTGCAATCTCCTGACACACACTTCTTCATTGCATTTAACAAAACCCAAGACTGATGAACTGAACTCATCCTCTTCAGTTTAAACTAGTCTCTAAGGGGGCAGGCAGGCACAGCAACCCACAATTTTTCATTGTTAATATTTATTCAATGTAGTGTTAGTAACTGATGTCTAAAAATCCTTTGTAATTAGAGATTTAAAATAAACTTACAAGAAGATCTCCATTAAAAAATATGAAACATAGGACTACAAAATGCAGTGCATATTATCACTCAAGAAGGAAATACCCTGCATCTCTCTTGATCTTTATTGCTAATAAAGGAATAGCATCTATTCAGCATCTATTTGATTTCCATTTACTTAATGTGTGCTCAGTTGGTCTTTTCAAACTAGAATGTAAGCTCCTTGAAAGAGGAATCATGCCTTTTACTCTTTTAATCCCTCATTAGCATAACAACTATTTAATAAATCTTGGTTATTTAATGGCCCTTAATCTGAAAATAGGAATTAAAGAAAAAGATACTTATTATTTTATCAATTAAAGAGAGACAATTAGTCATTTGAAGGCCGGAGACGGGATTTTGAAATTTAAGAATCAGCAGAGATACTTGATGATCTCAACTCACTATCTGACTCAGGTTTAGATGCATTTCTACAACTTAAAATACAGAATAAAAAAGACACTTGAACTTTAGCATAATCCCCAAGGCATGAGCTCTCATGGCATGAAGTCCATGCTATTTTATCTTCTAATGTGCGCCCTCTTTGCTAAAATAAATTGGGAAGAGAGAACTTTACATCTCTATCTATCTCCCTGGTGTGGAGACCATGACCAGGCTAGATCAGGCTAAGGGCTGCTTTGCCACCGCAGCACCTCCTCCTCCACAGCTCCGGACAGCGCTAAAAAGGATCACATGTGAGTAGACAAGGACGTTACTGTGGTCGCCACCCATTCACCCTGGCAAAGGTCATGATGCAGAGCTGGGCGTCTGCACTGCCCAGCCCTTTCGGGCGGCGGCACCCCAGCAGCTGGTAGGCCACGCTGTGGAGTCCAGACCAGGAAGAACACAGTCCCCAGAGTCTCCATGGCTGTCACTCGTGACTAATTCTAATAACGGTTTTATCTGCGACAGCCAGAGAAGTGGGGAAATGATTTTTCACTTAGACAATAGCTGGGAATAGCTGTTATAATAGAATCATAAAAAATTCTCAAATTGTTTTTGAAAGTTTAGGCTTCTCGCTTTTAGAAAAGAATGTAAAGCCTGTGAAAGCATTTCTGAGCGCCCTCGGTCCAGCTGCCACCCTCCTCCTGAACCTCCGGCCACGGAGGTCACCAGGAGTCAGTCCTGCTGAGGCTGGGCCACGCGAGCAGGATACAAGGCCCAGATGAACAGTAGTACAGGATTCACCATCCACCCACTCCAGACATTTGCAGTGAATCAGCATTCATACCAACTAATTAAACGTAAAGTAAAAAACACAACATCAAACCCTGTCATCAACTTGGTTACAGACACACAAAAGTTGCTGTGTGTCTGCTCCGGTTCATGAGCTTTCTATGCAATACCCTAAGGCCCCAATCTACAGTCCATTTAGAAGTTTAGAGCACTCCGCAGCCCAGCCCTGACTTAAAAATGTCACAGGGGAATCAGCTGCACTGAGACAGTAAGTGCTGACATTGTAACAATTGTTTCTGCATGACAGGCTGGACGCAGGGACTCCTGACAGGAAAAGCCAACAGTAATTCCGCACTAAGAGAGGACACCACTACTCACAACATGCACGCCCAAGGCACTGCTCAGACAGACAGCATTTCAACTAAACATAAAAAAGGCTGTTTAGAAACACGTCTCATGAATTCATAAAATCCTGCCACATCCAAGCAGAGCGACTGGTTGCTGGTGCAATTCTAAGACAAATCTCTCTTTAAAGCCATGGGAAAATTCATTTATTAAATCTATCTTTTAAAGAAACGATCAAGGACCTTTGACGGTTTGCCCAAAAAAGTCAGATTTGCCCAAACTGTTTTAAATTCTACATTTGCCTTTACCCCCATCCTTCCATCAACAGTTTCACAGTTACTAGGATATAACTCCCTGGAAGTCCAGCCATAAGCTGGTCAGAGTAGAGGATGAATCAGAAAACCTGTTTGACACAATACTGAAGACTCATTTGTGTCCAACTTCCATGTAAAGAAGACAATTCAGAGCCCTTTGCACCAACCCAATTAAGTAAACACCTTCAAATCCATGGATTTTTATATGTTTGGCATAAGTGAAACCTTTTAAACATAATTAGGTAGTTATTTTAAAAGAGATTATTGCCATGCACAGTGAACAAACCAACCTTGTAAGTAGGCTTTAACACCAAAACTGTTTGAAAGAAAGCCCATGTTTCCCCCTCGCCTGTGTCTATACTGATGTTAACTAAGCACAATGGAAAAAAGTTACAACTGGAAAAACCTACTCTGTGAGTTGTAGTACATTTCACCACTTATACCTATGTATTTGTTCTCCAATGACCATTTACAGTATTTTGCCATGTATAATGTGCACTGTTTATGCCTCAATTTTTAAGGGAAAAGTAAGGATGCACATTATACATGGGTGGTACTAATTCTGTATCTATATAAATGTTCTTAATGTTTATTTATGTTTAGGCGTTAAAAGTTTAACTCTAGAAAGCACAATATTCATATGCAAAATAATATGCTGGAATATGATGATCTGTTTTCTATATAAATTAAAAAAAAGACTTGAAAAACTAAAACATAAATTTTTCTCCTGAAATTTTGGGTCAAAAAACATGGGTGCGCAATATACACAAGAGCGCATTATACATGGCAAAATACAGTACACTGTACTTTTGATTCTCAGCACAGGTTATACTATGATTTTTTAATAAAACAACCTCCCCCCGCCATTCTCCAATGACCGTGCATATACAATAGTGTGAAAGATTATGCAAAAATTAAAAATGAAACATCCATAAGTCACCCAAATTTATACTTCTGATTTCCACATTTTACTTTGACACTCATCACAAGTGTGTACTATGAGATTTTATTACAAAAAATTTATTTATTATTGATCCAATCCTCACCTGAGGGTATGCTTATTGATTTTACAGGGAGGAAGGGAGAGGGAAAGACAAGACACACACACACACACATGCACACACAGAGAAAGAGAGCTGTCAGTCTGCTCAGGATCGAACCACAGCCTAGGTGCGCCCCCTAACCTGGGCTGGAGCAGGCAGCCTGCTGACGTATGGGATGATGCTCCAACCAGCTGAGCCACCTGGCCAGGGTTGCCCTTTTATTTTTAATTAGTTTTAGACTTAGAGAAAAGTTAGAAAACTAAGACGAGGAGTTTGCTTACCTCCCTTAGCCCACCTCCCCTAGTGTTCTCATTGTGTGTAACCACAATGTAATCACCACGAGGAACTTAACACGGCACAATGTTGTTAGCTACAGATCGTACTAGAATTTCACCAATTTTCCACTTCATGTCTTCTTTCCATTCTAGGATCTCATGTTGCATTTAGTTGTTATTTCTCCTTAGTCATTCAAGACCCCCGTCTTTTCTTTTGTTTTATGACTTTGACGCTTTTGAAGAATACTGAGCAGTTATTTTGCAGACTGTCCCTCAGTTTGGTTCGGTCTGCTGTTTCATGATTTAAATGAGGGTATTCACTTTGGGATGTTAAACACACAAATGTCATTTCTGCTGACGTTTACCTTGATTACTTGGTAAAGTTGGTGCCTACCAGGCTCCTCCAATATAAAGTTACTGTTTTGCCCTTTGTAGTTGGTAAGTGTTATAAGGGGAGATACTTGAGACTATGCAAACCTGTGTCCCCTCAAACTTGTGCCTGCTCATTCTTGCACCCACTGAGCCTCTTGTCAGCACCGGTTATTGCAGCTTCCCTCCTCGCTTCCACATTTATTAACAACAGTGTACCTCCTCATTTGTTTGTGTGTTTATTAGACTACTTTGATCCCTATGAATGCATGTGGCAGGCATACTATAGAACGACTACCAGTGAGTCACACTCTTACATAATACCCACCTCATGACTGAGGGCAGAGCCTGTGACTTGGCTTCCAACCAAAGAAATAACAAAAATGATGAAATATCACTCTTGAACTTGATATATGGCAAAGTGAAAGGGATTTTGCAAGTGCCAAGTCCTGGACAGATAGACTATGAAATCCTCAAAAGTGGGGGGACCCTGGGTAGGCCTAACTTCACAGAGGACGGAGGCCTTCTCTGCGCTGACAGACGCTCCTGCTGGCCTTGGAGAAGGAAGCTGCTGGGATGTGAACTGAGCCACGTGGCAGGACAGGCAGCCTCGCCAGCCTGTGGGCCTCATGTCTACAACCACAGGAAATGAGCTCATGCCCTAGCCTGAAAGAGATGGGGCGGATTCCTCCTTAGCTGAGCCTCCGGATGGGAACATGGACCATCCATCCAACACTTTGCAGCCTCTTCAGACCCTGAGCAGTGGACCCAGCTAAGCTATGCCCAGACTCCTGGCCATGGAAACTATGATATAACAAACAGGTATTGTTTTAAGCTGCTAAATTTGTGGTAATGTCACACGTACAGGCAACCTAATATAGTCATGGGTATTTGCTTTATCTGATGGATTCAAATCCAACATTGACATTTTGTTGTCCAAACTGTTCCAGTTTTGGCCATTAAAAGCCCCTTCTTTAAA